AAGGTGTGAATCAATTTTGTTCCCTTCAAATCAACTTTGCAAATCACATAAGTGTAAGAATGTGTCTTAACTTCCCTGCACTGATACAAAGAGTTGACATRACTATTGAAAACATCTTTTGACAAAGACTATTCACATCAGGATTCCTACAGGCCATAGCCAATATCAGACTTACTCATTATCAACACATGTATTGCACTGTTATATAGCTTGGATTAAAGCCTGTCAAAGCCAGAGCAACTATTGTTGCCCAACTTAGTGAAAAACCAACAAAAACTATTTTAAGACACTGGACAGCTGAAATACTAGCAGTTTGTGAACCTAGTGGAATATGCTTCTATCCCAGACAAAAGGCAGTTGTGAATCTGCTCAGAAACCTGAACTGCTTAGCATGAGAGCTTTCTTCACTGTTACTTTTGGCAAGGGCATGTATAAACAATAAACAGCACAAAGTGGAGAAGCTGGGACAGAAAAAGCAACAGGGAGAAGAAAAATTTGAACACATATTGGCATTTTAGGACAAAGAAATGTCCTTAAAGCAAGGAAGGAATGAGAATGAGACATTGAAGTCCAAGCTGAAAGGGCCTGGTGGAAGGGAAGCTGCATTTGATTGTTTCTCTCTGTTGGTAGTGAATATTTTGTATTTCCTTGTAAAGGAACTGAATTGCACTAACAATACCTGATCCCAACGCATGATTTAGTGGYGAACTTGGCAATGTTCGGTTAAGAGTTAGACTCATTGAGCATAAAATGAATAGTAGATTTTGGGCTTATTTCAATCACATACTGTGCTRTGATAAAAGATTAGATTATTTAGCCAGGAACTGAAAATATATTTTACCTTACTACATGAAACAGTGGTGACTTGCTTCTCCCTGATAGAAACTTTTTGCACAGGGATGATTTTAATTCCTAAGAATTGCTATTTTATTTTGAGATTAACAAGTACCAAATAACAAAAATCCACATTAAAAGAAAAATATATTTATATACATATATATATAAGGAAAAGTAAACTGATCTCTGCCTGAACATAATACCTCTCAGAGGTTTATAAGACTACACACAGAAAAATAATAAATGAAAGAAAGCACAGAAACCACATCCATTCATCSTAACCCCCTGCCACCTGAAAACTACCTATTTATTCAGGCTGGCAGAAAATTTTTCATTCCAGCTGTTTTTCATGTTGGACGTGRGATTCAGCAAAACAACATCTTTCACAGAAAGAACATTTCAGATTTTCATCAAAAGCACTGGTTTAGTTTTGATTTTGTTTGACAGAAAATGGAAGAGGAGGTGTAGAGGGAGGACAGAGGAAAGCAGACTGGGGAKCAAACCTTACTAGAATGGCTCTACAGTAGTTAATCATTGTACAGGCATGGAATAATCCATTATTTTTGCACAGAAAACCTTTTTGCTTTGTTTCTGGCTTAGTGTTAGGAAGACACAACAGAGTTAGAGAGTATCTTTCAGGGGACTATGGGATTTGGGGAAACATCATGCACAACCATCCAGAGCTGTAGAACTCTCTCTGTGGGTAAACTCTGAAAGCAATCAGCCACTCAGAATACAATGATTAAAAGCCAGCAGAGAGAGAAGAAATGATGCTCAAGCTGTGGTAGTTTATGGAGCAGGATTCTCACTCAGTCCAAAGGAAAACTCTCAAGGACTGACTGTGGGGATACCACTCYATCACTCAAACTCATCTCCCTCTGCCAGCAAATGCAAACCCAAAGCACATGGATCAATTATGACTCCTAAAAGCACCACTGTTAATACATTTACAATAGGGTCACACCCTTGAATTTAGCATCAGGAAGAGCTATTCGGAAATGAATCCAACAAAGRATCTGACCCTTTATTACTTTGTTTCACGTTGACAATGCAGTACTTCTGCCAGGCTCAGTGGTGTATCTAACATCAAAATAAAAAGCTGATTATGCAGTTCCACCATTCCATTWTTAATATCATCTTCCTGGCTCTGTGAGGCTGAACTTTAGATTTCAAATAATACTTCTTCCAAAGCCCAGGCTGGTACAATTTTGATTTGCAAGGCATTTTGTAAAATTAAGCATGCAACCTGAACGTAATTCAGGTCATAATTCTTTGTCATTTTAGATACTTCAGTGGGGGGTTGTACCCACAGCCATCCTAACTGAACTGCTAATTAACTTTCAAATATACTGGTGTTAGGTAGGTCTTCCTATTTTAACTTTTAAAAAAAAAATATATGCCTATACATGACAGATAAGACATTTGGTAATTTCAAATTAATCATTGTAATTAGTTTTGCAATGAGAAGCAGACTCTTTGAAATTTCTAGTAGAAGTGAAAATATAACATAGCAACTGTTYGCTTGCAAATTTGTTTAGAAAACTATGAAATTAAATTTAACCTCAAAGTCTAAGCTTTGAGGCGCCCAAATTCCCACCCTTTGCATCTTGGATGCCCTTCCAGCTTCCCTGGAAAACTGACAGCTCTCARGCTGACATGAAGCCAGTAACATCCAAGGTCTGTGCCCTGTAGAAGAGAGCCTACATTCCAGGCAGCGCATGTGCCACTGTCCCTTGGAGCCTCAGAAATCCAAAACCTTGGCAAAGGCCATCCTTCCAGTTCTGCTGAACCAGACTTTCCAGTAACAAATTGYCACCTTAGAAATTGCCCAGCCCACTCAAACCCAAAGTGAAATAGAGTTTTATCACACTGAGATTRCTGGTGAAATGCTATTTAAATACAAACCAGGAAAAAATCCTAAATGACTGAAAACAACATTTAGCTTCTCTGAACCCACTTCCTCCACATGGGTTCATATTTTATAAACTTATTCCCTTAGAGGAAACACTATATGAGACAAAATGCTAAGAAAAGTAACTGTTTTTTAGCACACTYCTATCGAAACATATCCCAACCAAACTGAACAGAACACAAATARACAATGAAAATGAAAAGCAAATAAGCTGGAAATTCCATTATCTCATCTGAAGTTTTCCCAGTCTGACAGATAAATTGCATTGTTATCCTGCAGTTATTTACTTATTGTGCCCCRTACCTATTTTTCACATATTAAAATGAAAATTGTGCTAGAGAGGTAAACTGATGGGAAACTGATGAAAGCTTCAGGTCATAATTATAAGGTGACTCTTCAAAGAAACTGAAGAAGAGAAAAAAGAAACTGGCTTCCAGAAACTGCAGGTTAGACATATTTTTGCTAATGGAAATGCAAAAAAAATTTAATTTTCTCTAGTCTGACAATATGAAATAACCTAATTTGATTTAGTACTTTGAAGAAGCATGTGTGTCAATGTGTTAAAACCTCTTTGCTACTTATATAGTCTGGCAGTTTCTGGACAGCAAGTCTAAAGTGAATAGAAATATCTTCCTTCACCATGTGGGCTGCAAAATTCCAGTTTTCCTTAGCTAGTTGGAAAGCCTGGTGCCTCTTCTGCTACATGATCTTGATGAAGAAGTAAATCCCAAGTTTGTTTGGACATGCTGCAAAACTGCTTCCCAAGCTCTTTCCACTGGAAACCAGTGGTGAGAGGAACAAAAAAGGCTCAGATCAGCTTGAAGCATTTAGACAGAGCTATGTCTGTGTCTCTGCATGTGCAGACAYTTTTCTTGGAAGGTGTGAAAATCAMTAATCAGGAAAAGTGCTCATGCACTCCAAYGTGGGAGATGAGCCCCTGTTTCCAACACACTGYTCATTATTCCYCAATAGAATTTTTATTCAGATGKAACCTGTCCCAAGCACAGAAAAGTATGACTCTGGGAGGATGGCTTCCATCGTAAAACTAATCCGTAGCAACTTCTTATAACAATGAACAGGTTTGAGTTTACTCCTTCCCCCGCCCCCTAAAATCAGGATATCCATCACTATTAAACTTTTATAAGATCATGACAGATTTCTATGTTTCTTTCCAGCTACCAGGCCAGAGGAAAGGAGGGAAACCCCATGTGGAGGGCATCTCTTTTTAAACAGGCTTTAAAACAGCAATAAATATAATACCACAGTTCTTTGAAAGGAAACCCTGGAACTGCACAATATAAAAAAGTGAGTATCCAAAATCAGCAATGAAAATTCTGAAACCCATCCTATGCTTAGTAGTCCTAGATYACACATCACAATTTCTCTTTTAAACAAAAACTTTCACCAAATTCATTGTCACTGCTCACTATTCAATGAATATGGAAAAGCCARGCAAACAGATGTTTGCATAAGAAACCACCTTGATTAAAGCAAACTGCTGCTCTCAGCAACTGCATGTGTGTATTCCCAGATGTSACATGCCAGGCTCTCCACTTGTAACAGGGAAAAAGAGGGTAACTCAGACAAACTACAAAGMAACAGCAAACTATGTACTCACCTCCTCCACGGCCTCAATGTAAATGTGCACCTAAATAGCATTTTAGGAGGGAATGATTATGCAGAACGGGAGGAAATAACATGACAGAAGGAAAAAAGGAGTAATTTATCAGCATAGGTTTTGTTCAGGTAAATGTAYTGGAAGAAAGCCAGCAAACATGAGCCAGAAGCAAATTACAGTGTGTCCAGCCAAGCCACCAGTCTGGAAAGCATGGGGATCAGGAACAAAAAAAATATGCCACAGCAAGCAACTGCTATGCATTTCATACACAGCCACAGAGACCAGCTGCTCCTGAAAGCTGGAAAGGATATTCCCTCCTGGCAGAGCGGACATAAACTCCACCAAATAGCACTGTGGTCCCAATGCAGGTGCATTAGAGTAGCTGGGCTGTGAAGTGTTTAACTGCTGCACAATTAGTTCTGTCTGCATTAAGACTGTCAACTTTAACTTTATCAGAAATCCACTYGCATTGGGTAACTCAAGATGTTAGGCCTTTTTATACATGTTCAGGGACCARCTACAGTAAAGCCAACTGAGAAAGGGCATGGTTTGCCAATTCCCTTAGTGTTTTGCACAAGGATAAAATCTTCTCCCAAAGAAAATAGGTGTTTTAGGGATATTTGGAAGGCCTACCTTGCCCAAACCAGGGGTGTCTTTCACTTTGCTGACTGCCCTCAACAAACATGGTGGTGCAGGGGGTGGCGAAGTCTGCAGAATACTGCTGAAGCAGGTAGAGAAGAGAGGAGATTCAGGAACAGATGAGGCAGAAGGCCTGTGCTTCTTCTTTTTGGACGACAGGTTCAATTTCTGAGCAGCTCTGTGGGRAAAACAACAATACTAAGGTAAAACAATCTCAAACTCATCAACAAAGTATTTATCAGGTTACTATTTATGTAGKCTCTCAGGTGTGACCTCATTGATCCCAACAGTTTTAAAATTCTTGTTCTTCACTCATTAGTACTATTTTAATGTCATTGACMACAAAGTTGCTCCAAATTTAGAGTCTGCATTAAGTAGGTCCACAATCAGGCCTCTGTCACTATTTTATCTGTTGAAACAATTCAGCCTGCAAGAAAGCTCCAAGCCCAAATCAATGAGCTATACATAAATTTCTGTTTTAAAATTATGAATGGTTCACACAGAATTGTGCCTCATGCATAGGTCTCTTATTAGAAAATAAATACTTGTGCAGAGTTAGTTAGCAATAAATGCTCAGGTGAATCTGCTAAGGTGTCAGAAGTCCTGCATTAAATGTTCAAAATTTTTATCACCTCTTAAAACACAAGCCTGAAGGCTGAAAAAATGGCAAYCAATGAAAATATTGCTGTTTGTGATGAGATGGAGACAATCCTACAAACTCCAGCTGCATTAACCACTAAGCAGGGGAATCAGTGAAGACTGTTTTTAACTGCACARTATTCTCAGATAAGAATGCTGAGTTTGTATAGACTTTGATTAAAAAGCTGAGCTTTTCTGGAACGGAAACATTCAGTACTTCTGTTTTGCTAAATGTTTTATTTTGAGAGATAATGCAACATTCAAGTCTTTGTTGCAGCTGTTTTTTTCCAACACTKGTGTGTCCTGCACTGCCCAGGGATAACATTAATATTAATCATGCTGTCCCACGGTTTCCCTTTTGCAAAACAGAGCATTTTAACCAGAGCAGGTCAACAGGAGTACCATCTCAAAGAAGAGATGGACAGAACAATTTTGTTTGGTCTGGCAGACAAACTGGGACTTGAATAGGCATAAAAGCAGCCTGTGCTGACAGTAGCRCTCCTTACTTTGCTGAAGTGTGTCRCTCAAAACCAATAATTCCAAATCCTCCTAAGTTTTAAGAAGCTTTGGCTCCATTACTGGAGCAAACTGGTAACAGTTTATATTACCCAACTCAAAACTTACTAAAGTAATTACATCATTTTATCCAAAGGAGTCAAGGAAGAAACATTGAATACATACACATACACACACGCACACGCATATTTCTATATGCAAGTAACATGTGTTTGTGTCTGGTGCCTCAGACACATGGACAAATTACTRCTGGGCATGACATTGCCATGTGTCAGCTGGTCACAAGCACATAGTCTGCACCACCAGGCTCTATTCTTTCAGCTTTTGGCAAGTGCAAAGCATTGCCAGATAGATTCCTACCTAATAAAAGAAAAACAGTAGGAGATTTTAACTGACCTGACACAGAATTAGAACTCAGAAGTTTCTGTACCACCTCTTTGTCGTTTCCCTTCACTCTGACCTAAAGATTGCAGTTCATAACCTGTCCCTCTCATTTAAGCATATAATTTTTCATAGAAAACATACTCAAAATATGTTGGTCAAAACCACTCTTCCTTTTCCTAACAACATTTTCATGGTATGAGAGGATTCAATTRTTTCAGCTTCCACACTGTCATCACTAACATTTTATGCAGTTGTCCATGCTGAATCAAGATCTTCTGTACATCTTAGTTTCACTACAAAATTATTTTAATAGAAATCTTGTGCTATGTGCAACAACAGAAAACATAAATGCTGGTCAAACATACTGAAAGCTTTACCCCTGTTGTCAAGCTCATTAGCCCAGCCTGAACTACAGACAGTGTCTCTACTCACTATAGTCATCCATCTGGTCTCCCTGACTCACCCCCTGGTGAAAATACATTTCCTAAAAGCTGTYCCCTGAATTGACTGACAGGACCATTATCTCTCTTGCCACTAAATGTTTCTCCAGAATTTGCWGGGCTTTTTTACAAAGCTGACAATGTAATACAAACCACCTCTTGACCCAACCAAGAATATAGCCAACAYTTCCTTAAAGAAAAAAATATTGTTGGCAGTACCTGGCCTTTTCAAAAGTGTGGAACTATATTCTAGTTTGACAGGTATAACCTTTGAGATTGCATTCAAATTGAATAACCTGCATTTTTCTTATATCTTTGGCCTGTGACTGGCAAAATRTATCAAAAACAGTGAACTATTTCTCGCCGCTTTATGGGGTTCTCTGTTTTTCCCCAAGGAGAGGAAATCAATGCATGGCAGGCTAGAAAACAGTTTCCAAGGTCTATCAGGCTTGACTGAATTTTGAAAGAGATCAAAAAGGCAATAAGCGTCAGGTAAATCCCAGTGCATTTAATTGGGAAGAGAAGGCTGCAATATGACACAAATACATAGAGTGTGGCTTTCTTATGAGTATATTTGTGTGAGCAAAATCCTTCAGCCTGGGTGGCTAGCATTGCTCCAAACACAGCTGGTCATGCCAGATGATACTGATTTGGCCCTGTGATCCAGCACAGGAGGTTAGAAATTCTCATATTTTACTTTTCCAAGCAACTCAGAGGCCTGGCTCTCCCATGCAGACTYTCTGGACCACCACACTTCTCAGGCAAAGCTAGACCCTGGGAGACCTGAGGTCAGTGCAGCTCACAGCCTGCCCAGCTCCACCAGCAGCTGTTTAGGATCCGCTCTTTGTACAGGAGCCAGCTATTTTATTTTTTTTCATTGAATATCTGTATAATAGGGCTCTGATTTCCACTTGAGACTCTGTGTATGCTGCAGTAATGATGGTGGCAGTGATGGCAGCGTGGCTTTAGGTATGGACAATAAACTGATCACGCTCCAGGTTATATCAGCTCCCACCTGAGCCAAGTGGTACCAGCTGTGGAATATGCAGGMATGTGCAGGGAGCTCCAGTGCACTGCAAACCCCTTCCCCACTGTGTGTGGCACAGCTGTGGGAGGGACGGTGTCCACAGAGACTCACAAGAAACCTGATCCAAATTCAATTTTCAAAGTGCCTAATCTAAACTGCATTAGACCATTGTGTAGACATCCTCATTTGCAACAGAACTGTCTTAAATGCCATTTTACTGAATTACCTTCTAAAATAATGCATACTTAATCCAGTTTAGCTAATATACTTTGGATTAACGCCTTCGGATAATTTGGACCATTTCTTTCCTCAGAGTCCTGATGCAAACAAGCAGCTGAAGACTTTTTGAAGGCTTACAAGATTTCTGGCAGAGGAAATAGTCATAAGACCAAGAGTGGAAATTGCTGGAGGGGCRTAGAAAGCTCATTAAAGTTCAATCCAAATAAAACTAATACATTGTCCTGGCAGAAAAGGGGAACTGCTTTGAAAGTCCACCAGATTTAYAGCAAAATCTGAGATCATTTCTTGAAAGGACATTCTCTGCTTTTTGCTTTTTTAAATAAAAGTTCAATAATGTATATCTTTGGGAATCAGAACAGTTTTACCTCCCACCTATCCAGAAACAGTGATATATTTTTCCACCTTAAAATGTCCCAAGCAGGCTGGGATTTTCAAACCCATCCACTGCAGAACTCAGTCCCTGCTATCCTGGAAGCCAATTCATGACTGATAGGAACTTTCTGAAAGCTGAAGATGCTCCATGTGACTCACTGAAAAAATGGAAGAAAACCAGCTTAGAGGTAATTCTGAGATAAAAGGGGGCAAAGAATGCTCTTTGGAAATCAGTTTGAGAGATAAATGAATATAAACTGATTAMATTTTAAGGCAAAGCTAGGCAAAGAACTCTGCTAAGTTATTCATACTGCTTATAAGCAATGAAAGAATGAAGTTGATTAAACTCTTTAGACAAAATAAAAGGCATAATGGAAAGCTCTGTAAACATCTTGCTTAGAGAAGTCACTGGGATAATTTCTTACAGTACAACGTATATAAGGAAACTGTGGAAAGAATAGTTTGAAAATTCRTGGCTTCTAAATTAATGCTAATATAATTCAAGCTTGATAAAAGAAAATGTTTTTTTCAGCAACACATCATCCAAGACAAAGTTAAAATTTTAGCACTGACAAAGAATAGGTCAGTAGGCCCACTAGGTTCATTAGAATCAGAAGGAGCTGGAACATTAAACAGATACTTAAAATATTATTCACACTTGTGAATAATCACAATAATATATCACAGCAAAGAATATCATCAATTGGTAACACTGACAGACTTCATTGGTGATATCACAGCAAAGAATATCATCAATTGGTAACACTGACAGACTTCATTGGTGATATCTGAAGAGATTTTCTTAGGTGTGTATCTCTGTATCATTATTCCTTACTGGGTGTTCATGCTACATGATGATGAATCCAGTACTTATTGCCCRTGGAACAGAATTCCAGATCATAGAGGTTATTGAGTTGGCACACCAGTTTCTGTGCCAGAATAGGAACTTGAAATTTCATTTTCATTTTCATAATTTCCACKGAGAAAATAACTTTCAAGCTGTGGATGCTTAAACAGCCATGTAAGAACTAACTTTAATGTAAATATTTTCAATTTTAATTRAAACTAAAAATCTATTTTTCATCTTTATTTGGAGGCATAAATTTCATTTTATAATATAAATATTCTTGGCTGGGTGCCCCATTCAAGGAGGTAAGGTATGAACTTTATCAGTACAAGGGATGGCTTAACATGCCAGAGTATGTGCTGGTTTAACAAGCCCAAAGTAGGTTAATGATCTTCCCTAGCAAAGAAAACACTACCTTTACTTACCCAAAACTGCATTGCCTGCTCTGTCTTAATGTACATTGGAAATCAGATGAAAGTTTCRTTTAGAAATCAGTCTTCTGAGCACTCCCAAAGCATAATTGTACACCTTCATCACCAGTTATAAAACAGACCTGCATCTGTGATCAGCAGCATTGGCTACCCAGCATAAAACATTTGTATTCCATGGTCTCAGGTTGAGCACCTATAAGTGAAAGACACCCTGATCCATACTGATGTTCTCCTTTTTTTTTTTTTTTTTTTAACCCCAGACCTAATTTCTCCTTTAGAAAA